GCAGGTGAGGTCTTTTTGGTTTTTGTGAAGCTAATGAGCACAGCTTTTTACACATAATTTGTATTGCAGATATGGTACTATGTAGACATTATTTTTCTCAAGAAGGCTGGAGTGACAGAAAATCTGGATTAGAAAAGAAAAATCAACTTGTTATTTTTCTGTTAAACCAGAATGTTTGGGCTAATAATAAAGTCAAAGGTTATTTTATAAACAGTTATCTGTCATAGAATGATAAGAAAGTTTTCTGCTAGAAGTTTGAAAAAAAAATCTTGCATAACATAATGTGTCAATGTCATATTGTTATTTTATATTAGAAAAAATAATGTGTGAAATAGATCAAATGAGATATACTTGAAAGAGAGGTTCTCTGAAACTTTTCTGCAGCTGAATATTTTGACCACAGTGTGCACTCACTTCTCGTTAGACTAACAACTGAGTTGTTTTTCAGTAGTAGAGAATCTGTCTCCGACAAACTTGTGAGTACTTTCTGTAATCATTTTACTATCACTCATCGGTGCTAAACACAGTAAAAGCAAGGATTGAATTTCAGTCTAGGTATGTCAATCCAGTCCAATAGTCAACATCCCATGGGGGATATAAAATGTGTCTTTGCACTATAATATAGAATGGAAGAGGGTGAAGTAAAAACTCACAGATTCTAGCAAATGTTATCAATCTGAGATGTTTACAAACCTTGATCTCTTTAATTCAACAAAAAAAGAGGGTGAGAAATGTCTGGATTAAGGATTCCTTCCAGGAGGAGAAACCACCCTTCCCCACAAGATCTTTAGCACAGGATATAAGAAGTTTCTAGAACCTGGGTGTAGGCAAAGTATAAATTAATTTCCAATAATGGGGCTGAGTAATTACTGGAACAAGCCACCATGGGAAGAGTGGAAACGTCATCGCTTCATGTTATCAGAGAGCATGAGGCTAGTGGCTTCTTTGCATGGAATACATTAGCCTAAAGCACAGCTTGAGGACAGTAGAGGCATGGTAAGATGAAACCAAAAAGCTGTAGTAGATAGCTGTATTATAGCACAAAAAAATATGGTTCTGTCATCCAGCCATACTATTTGTATTATATTTTCAGCAGCCTTCATGTTTTGTATGCAAATTGTTTTCTTTGGATTAGCCAGTGTATTGCTTCTTTCAAACCATTTAATAGAAAGGATCAGCTTCCTAGGACTGAATTGTTGTCTTAAGCTTGTGGATGATACTGTTATTAAGAAAGAGTTTCTGAGAGTTCCTGGTTTCCTACCTGAAGGCTCGCTGATCTTATATTTCTACTCTTTCTACATAAAACAATGTAGATTGTCTATATAAGGCAGTGTCTGAGTGTCATTGTTTTGAGTATCAGGGTGTCTTCCCAGGCACACACATTAAGGGCAGCCCAAATCAAGCAAAGGGAATTTTTGCCTCTGCTTGAGAGACCCTGCGGTGCTGCAGCTACGTCGAGTCCCACCCAAAACCACTCCACTGTTGTCAGTGTCTAGGGGGACCCAGATTCCCTGCACCATATGCTGCGAATACACATACAAACAAAATCAAAAACTGCTCTCCAAAGTCTTTACCCCGTAGATTGCTACAGGCGCTAAGATTTCAGACTCCAAAAAAGCAGCATGGTAAGTTAAAAAAGATCTTAAAAAAAAAAAAAAGGATGCTGAGGATAAGGTTTATTGCCTTATTGCCAAATTTTTCTCTAGACTCATGAGTTGCTATTTTCCATGAAAGCGTGTAGTCACTAATTTCACCCATGTCCCTACACATAAGCAATGGGGAGAGCTAGTGGCCCCTGAAGGCTTGCAACAGGGAGATTCAGAAACGTGAAGTGACATGTAGGGGCAACTACCTGGGGTCAGCCGAGAGGAAACACGAGGAGTATGGACTGAAGTGGAATACAGGGTATTTGCATACCATCCTATTGGGCTTCCTGACCCTAGGAGAGCCTGACACGTTTTAAACCAATGATTTATGGTATGCACACAAGGCTAAGCGATGGCTAGCAAAGAGAACAAATCTTTTTCTATTTCTTTTGTTTCTAATCTCAAAAATAAGTTTATAATTGCAGGCTTTTGTCAGGTTAAGTACACCAAAGACTGAGGGAGCAGCAATACTCTGGAAATAAGGTCACAGAAGCAACTTTCCCAGAGCTGTGTGTTGTGGGAGTGCATAATGTTGATATCACCTTATCACTCAATAACTCAGGTTCCTCTCAGGTTTCTGGGCAGTGCTCTTTGGCAGTGCTTGCTGTGGGCCTGGGGCACAATCTAGCCCATTTATCTTGAACAAGTTGTGACAGAGGTTAGCTTCATCAGATTGAAAGCATATTTTCAAAACCCAACATGTTTCCAACTACATTAAGAAACATTTCTTCCATGCAGAGGAAAAAACTCAGATTATTTTTCCTTTTAGTTTTCTGTGAATTTGGGACGCTCTGTATTGGTTTGGGAGGTATTTGGTTTCTAAATTTTCAGCTGGATATGGAATTTTACTTGTCCGGTAGTGCATTTCTGCATGACATGTGTGACCATGGATAATGAAAATGCCTCTCCACGTTTATCGGAAATGAGCTCACTCACGTTCTGCTATATAGGCAACCCGAGCAGCACAGACCTGAGTGTGTGTTAGTGGGCCAGAGGTACACCTGTAGTGCATCTGTACTAATAAATAAAGTGGGCCAAGGTTAACACTCCCTCCTTAAGGGCAAGCAGCAGGACAGAGTAGGTGACCCCAGGGCCTGAGGACTCTGGGAGCGGTTCTGGGAAAAGGGGCTGAGGCATATCCAGGGTGTGTCACAGCCACAGTACTTGTGCTGACTCTTCTGCCTTCACGAGTGCTAATGAGGGAAAAGCAAACGAACCATTAGTGTCCTACGCCCTCCCTCCAGTACATCCACCTGCAAGTCCACAAAATTTAAAGCCCCCCCCTTGGCAGCAGACTAACCAGTCAGAATGAAACCAGGCGATTGCAAGCTCAGTTATTTCCGTAAGGTTAATTGTGTTTATTGCCAAGTTTCCCTGTAAAGGTGTGCCATTTTACATACCTTTTAAAAAAAAGACTTTACTGGGACAACATTCATGCCAAACACCTGTGTTACAAAGCCATCATTTACTCCAGCACTGTTGCTTGTAGTAAGTGTGTACGTCAGCTTCCAGAAACACAGGAGTTGCTTCTTACCGTTTACTACGTAACCACTGAGAACAGTCATCTTTCTTAACTAATATAGCTGAGAACAGCATAGGTCCATGGATGCCTGTGTTCAAGACAAAGACAGGATGTTTCACGTCCAACCACCCACAAGGACAACAACTTCTCTGTGCAAGCTGGAGAGTGACGTAGCGAGAGTGCAGTCTGGAGAGGATGTGCACCTTGACCTCTCTCTGCTTTCCTGGGTGGGTAGATGTAGTTCCATACGCTGAATGATTTTCTGAGCTATTTTTAGGAAGTGGCATATTTTCGCATTCAGTCTGAGGTTAAGCAGAATGTCAAAACTGAATTATCAACATTTGCCATCAGCTGTTTTATTATAGATCTCAGTTTTACAGTCACCACTTTATATTACAACAAAAGAGGTACAAAAGTGAGCATGAAGACAAACTCTTGACCTATAGTCAGGAACAACCTATTTAACTGGTTATTGGCATGTGTCTGCATTGATGCATTTAAGTAGTTACATAACAGAGTGCAAATAAAAATTCATTTCACTTAATGTAAACATTATGGGCGAGGTCTTGGGTGCGGTCCAGCTATGCACAGTGCCGGCCTGTGTGTAACAGAGCACATGTTTGTCTAGAGATGCTCGAAATTACACCAGCTTGCATAAGGACGCTTTGCACGCAGGGTAGTCCTTGAAACATACAGCATTATAACCTTCTGCCTGTAGGACCATGGAAATCTCTGTCTACCTAGTGAAATGGCAAATTGCTGGTTACGCTGGCACTGCAACACCTAGGAGTGTATCTGTGGCAAAGCTTGTTCTTAGTGTCAACGGCACCGCACAAAGGCGCTACAGCCATGGCCAAAAGCTGGCCTCAGATCTTTGTTTTGTTACAAACGCTGTGCTTGACTGCACATATGGGATGGGTGAAATAGAAACCAAGGGAAGTCAATGAAACCTGCTGTTTTACTGGGCTACGGCATGTCCCTGCTAGTGAATATTCACCTCAGAAACTGAGGTCGTTATTGTGGCAACCTTTTGATGTTTGTCTCTACTCCAGGAGGTGGCCAAGCTGTGGCCTAAGGGACCTTTTATGAAAGTTGGAAGGCTTACACTTGTTGCTATATTAAGAATAAATGTAATCTGAACTGCAGTGGTGTTTACAGTAGGATTTAATGGTGTTGTCTGAGTCAGTCTTGCTATTTTCTCTCCCCAGCTACACACTCAGCACGTTCTTACAGATGCTGGCAACCCTCTGAGCAGTTTCTGGTCTTTTCTTGGCTCAGCTCAGCTGTTTCTCCACCAGCCACTTACTTTGACGCCCATTAAAAGGTACGAACTGCTCTACCTCTTCCACCACTTGCTTTGCCTGCTCAGAGGTGCCACAGGCCTTGGTAGAAACATGATTTATACCATGTACTGCTGGGCAATGTTCCCTCTGGGTAATACTGCACTGGGATACAGGAGGAGCGTAGTGTGCTCCAGACATTTCCAATCCAGCATTGCTGCAAGGAGGAAGCTGAGCGCTGATCCAGGCAAGTTCTCCCTCCACTGGAAAGTCTCTTTCTTTACTGTGCACATCCCAGGGAGGCCCCGCTTCGACCCTCTGGGAGCAAGCCAGGGCAAAGCATCTGCCCTCAACCACTGAACATGCCCCTGGTCCCTCCAAAATAGTATGTTTGTGCGCGTGTGTGTACAATAATCACACCTAAAGTATCACCTGCTCCTTGGCTGTTCGTGTCGCAGCAAGGATTATGGACTGTACACACCACGCTACTGTTTATCACTCTAAGCTATGTAGCCACATCTTTTCCACCTCTACACACTAATGATGAGAGTCTTCAGCAGCGCGGAGCATGCCGCGTCATGGGGTTGCCGTGGTGTTGGTGCAGAGCCTGCAGTCTGTGTGGTCAGGGTTATGCACACACTGAAGGAGCTGAACTGGCCTGTGGTGAGACACAAAACCAAACAAATATTTAGTAATCACTTTGCAAGTACAACAGAACAAAACTCCACAGGTGCTAAATGCAAGGTGAAGGTCACAGCGCACGTTACATCTGTGCTTATGAAGTGGATGTCTTTACTTAGGATAATTTTTCTTTAGATCTTGCTGCAGAAAGATAACTTTGATGTTTATAGGGACAAGAGCAAGTGAGTATGAAAAAAGCAGGGTGTGAACTCACAGCCTATCAGCTATGCTGTGATAACAAAAATAATTATGGAAAAGAAGTAAGATCTCTCACACTGACTACGCAGCTGCTGCCATGCTGAGGTCACCACCTTGCTCACCCGGTGGTAACCCCCACTACTACAAAGTGAAGCTGTTGGTAATGGTGTCAGGGATTATTAGAATTTTTGCTAGAAGTACATCCACTGAATCAAAGTTTTTAGTTGCTTCTGGAAGACACTACTGGCACTGACAAAAGCAAGAGAAAATGGTCAGCATCAGCCGCTACATGGCACGAAAAGCCAGATGTTTGGCTGACACAGACCCACAGTTCTGTCTGTAATGACCTCAGGGGAGTGAAACTAACTTGCTCAGTCTATCCTGAGGAGTTTTACTGCACATGTAAATTGCTTATTTTATTATTGCTCTGTAGATAAAATAGGAAAGTTAACAGTCTGTGTTGTTCTACACAGTTGTTTATGTGTGCGTTAGCTGAGCTCTGACAAAAAGCCCTACTTGAAGCGAGTTGTGAACCACAGCAATGAGCATGTCAGCAACTCTTCATGATGTGTTACAGGTTTCTCCTGGAGCTGAGCCACGGGGGATCTAAGCTACTACATATTTCTCCTTCCTCCCTGGCCCCTTAGCTTATTTCATCACAGGCTGAAATAATTTGTACCCGCTTACACGTTCTGGGAGTACTCGTTAAAGACTGCTGGTACCCAAGGAGAAAGCAAGCACACGAGCATCGCCACTTGGCAGATTTATGCACCACACCAGCATTATTTTTTTCACAATGTGCAGAGTACCCGTTAATCAGGTTTAGCAGTACCTAAACAGGAATATATTGCTCTGTCTTCAAGATGAAAATCCTAGCACCAGATAAAGTATTTGTCTCCTTTGCAGACCAAATGTTCCTTATTTAAAACTACTGTCACAAACTCAGTAGTTTATAGAAATGTTGACTTTGGAAATGTTCTCATCCAAGTATGAGTCCTTCACCCTGAAAAGCTGTTCCTGACAGATAAGATATGAATAATATTGAACCTTTGCTGCTTTTTAATGTCACTAATGAACACTTTTGCTGAGTGTGAAGGTCTCTGAACTCACAGAAGGATAAAGGGTCTCAGGCTTTTGATAACTCCTCAGCAGGCAGAGAGAGATTTCAGGCAAGTCAGAACTTGGGCTGTTCTGTTTCCTGGACTCCTGTTTTTATCTCCTGACAATGGGAAATTATAGTAATTAATAATAGTTATCGTGTCTCATGCCTCAGTCTCTGACAAAGCAGCTGGATGGGAAGTAAGCTCAAACTACAGCAAAGGAAGGAAGGACCATCCTTGACATACTGTCTTATCTGCGTGCAGCAGGGAGGAAAACTGCCTATTTCATTGTGATTGTTGCAGGTAAATGCCTGGTCAGATGAAACTGTGTTGGGAGGCTGGATTCCTCCTTCCCTGCAGGCAACTGGACGTGTACACTGGTGGTGACCTCCTGGAGGTGCTGCGGGGCAGAGGGCAAGCCCCAGACCCAGCTAGCAGGAGGTCTGCAGCACGAGTGCAAGCCCCTGCCAAGCACACAGCCACATCAAAGGGATGTGATGGCAGTAAGTGAGGAGTCTGCTGCAAACCAGAAAACCTTGTTAAATCAAGAGGGAGATACAATATTAGTTTTATGATGGTGAGTTGATACCAATAAGAGCAAGTACTTACCTGTAATTGTCTTCACAGGTGATCTTAAAGTTTCGCTCTTCTAAGATGCTTTTTAACCTCTTTATGGAATGACCTGAGCAGGATTCACTGGAAAGAAAAGTCTTCCATTACTTATGTTCCTTGTGTTTAGAAGAAGCTCAGCTAAAATCCACACTATGTCACTTTGCCTTATTTCAGGTAAGATTCTTTAAAGACTTGTTTGCTAATGTGCTGTAAAGTCCATTGGGCTTGTGGAGTTTTGGCTACCACTGGGCCTTCACTGGCAGAAATTATCTGATGTTCAACTGTGTACATTGCACGAGAACTTGGTGCAGGAAGGTATCTGTGGGGAATAACTTAGTCCCATTCACACTTCAAGGTGCTCTAGAACTGCTCTGGAGCCTCTGGTGGCCTCCATCAACAGCAGCACAATATAAGGCTTGTTCAGATTTGTGGAAGGACAAAGTGATCCAGTCTTCTGTATGATGAGAAAGGGCCAGCAGTTATGTCCCAGGTAGGACATAAGATAGGAAGAAGCAGATAGGAAACATGGAAGGAAGCAGGATAAAAGCATCTCCTATCTGTTTCATAAAGTCTGTGGCTGCTTCTACTCTGTATTGACAATGGCTGTTTCAACTACTTTTCCATTTCCTAATTTGTATTTTTTTTTTTCCATCCAGCTAATTGGTTCCATGAAGCATGTAGCAGTGTCATACCTTTGAGATCTTTATCTCTATGCTTAATTTGCTTGAAATAGCCCAAGGGGGGCCCCAGGGCTGTAGTGACAGGAGTGACAAATATCAGAGATGCAGATAGAGCCACTGCAAACTTGTTATCTCTGGATAAAAATCATCTCCTGGTCTGGAGTATGGGATGCATCAGGGCAAATCCAGTTCCAAATACAGCATTAGTGGAAAGCAGAGCCAGCTCTTTTTTATTCACAAGACTTAGCAGATGTTATCAGTGGTTCAACATGGGATACAAATCAGAAGATAAAAGGAATACATATGTAACTCTTTCTCCTTGGAAGTAAGTAGAAAATAGAAAGGAAACTGCTGTGAGCTTGGCACAGGAGAGAAGGGTGTGTCAGGAAGGCTGGCAGGGCACCATGTTGCTGAAGCTGTTGAGGAGGAACACGATGGCTTTTCTGATGATGGGAAGTCATGGGAGAAAAGACGGAGTGCCATGTTTGGGGGAACTAATATCCAGATTACTTAATGTCCTTTTCTTCAGCAGACCTCTATGCAATGGCGTGGAAGAACACGCCTGGCATGCTGATCACAGGGTAGATGCATACGTGTGAGCTGTGACAGCTATGTCTCTTTGTGTGGCAGAGACACTTCTGAGTGTCAGGACTAGGGAAGGGGTTGCAACACTGGAGCGGGCACTCTGTCAGACAGTGAGGCTGTCCGAGCAAGGGTCTCTGTGGGGCTCACACTCATTCCTGGGTCGCACTGCATCATAACGGGCTGCTTCCTGACCCACAGCATCAAAGATGCTGCTTCTGGTGTGTGGGGCATTGTGCAGGACTGTGACAAACCATGGCAGTGCATTATAACCATGTGAACCACAGAACTGACTCTGGAGGTAGGGGTCAGAGGCACTGAACCTCATCCTCAGCGCTTGAAACTGTGATCGGTCTGCAAAGGAATCTGATCCGGATGAAAAAGGCCACTCAGAAAGGTTCAGATGTGAGTTCTGGTGCCAGAAATTCCATGACAAGCATTTAAACTACAAATTTATTATTAAAAATCACAGAATCATTGAGATTAAAAGGGACCACTTGACATCATTATTCCAACTAATATCAGCTAGACCAGGCTGCCAGTTGGATGAGTATGTCCACAGATGGACACTCCCCAACCCCTCTGGGAAACCTGTTCCTGCATTCGAAATTATTTTGTCTAAAATGGTTCTGGTCAGCATCATTATATTATTCTTGTGGAAAAATGTATTTTCCAGAGGGTCACCCTCACAAAAGTAGCCTGGTCTGTGATTTCAGTCCTGCACCCGTAATAAGGGTCTGTAGAGCTCAATGGGATTGGAAGGAATTTAAAGGTCATGGAACTTCTCGAAAGCAAGGAAAATGTGTCTTAGCTATAACTGTTCAGCACTGCCTATGAAAAATACTAAAGAAAACAACGGTTCAAATGTCATTCTTTCCAGTAAAGTAAGCAGCTGGGAGAGTGAAGGTAGGGCAGGTTTTGTGAGCAGGTCATTGTTTCGTGACAGTGTCGTTGCTAGACAGTCACTTGACATAACTGAACTGCACCATCTGCCTTCTACACGCTGCTCGTCCCTTCGTACCGGCGTGACTTACCTCTGAGGTCTGCCGATGTCATGCATAAGCCAAATGTGTACTGCGGAGACTTTATCTGGATTTAGGTTAAAGATCTCAATACTTCCAAAAATGCTGTAAGAATGGGACACAGAAAAGCAAAACATTCTTAGTTATCTAAGTAAGATGTACAGAGTATGCTCCCCAAATACAAGTGCTTATTAGTGCTGCTGTTATTTGAATGTTATCTTGCCAATGGATTTTCAGAACTATTTAATTAGCTCGTAGTACAAGATTTTCTCCTCATTCTGATTTTACTTTCCTAAGAACTGAAATCTGAAACAAGCTGAAGATTTTCCATCTTTAGTGCCTTTTCTGCTGTTTGGTTTATTGGCTGCTGATTTGGTACAAGGAAAACAAACACAACTGTTCTTCTGACCAGCATGTTCTTCATCTTTTAACATTACTCATGACTGCACTTCCAACCAGGTAACCCAAGGAAGCACAGTCTGAAGGGGTGAAAATCCAGTCAGCTCCATGTACAATTAGAAATGTGTCACTCGTGTAGTGAATAATTAAACTGTAATAATAAAGTTACAGTGAGAGCGTACTGGATACCTCACCCACATACCCTCAGAAGGATTTCAACTACAGTTACAGTACAGAAGGAGTTAAGTGAATCCTCTCTTCAACAGCCAATGGTTTAGAGCTCTACATGAGCTTGCCAAAATCCATTCTGCACTGGGACTCACTGGCAAAGACATGCTTACCAGCATGCAGGCCCCACAGAAACATAGATGGTAGGATGCTGAGTAAATAAATACCTGCTGCTTCTGAAAGCTCCAGCTTCTACTGATCCGTTGAGCATCACTTGAACCACACCGCATGCTGTTTCTGCAAACTGAACAAAACAAATGGACCTTATATTCTGACACTGCGTGCAGTGCCAGGTCAGACTCAGGGTTAATATAAATTAACTTCTTTGATGTCATCAGAACTGATTTATACAAGTAGAGGATCTGCCAATATTTTAACAAATCATGTCAGTGCAAAAAAAAAAAAATAATCCTCTAAAGGCTATGGCAAAACTGTCACAAAGCTGCATTAGCCAGCTATAACTCGTCAGTCTGAGGTGGCATGGGACTGGTAGAGCAATTTTGCTGTCACTGCTCTTTTCAATTTTTACAGCAGGATGCAAGTTTCCAGAGGCCCAGCAGCCATAGATGTCTGACGGGGCTGTTCCCTCCCTCACTAACTTGTAATAATCCTCAGAATGCTTTAACTCAGGCAGTGAGGATGAGCCAAAACAGAGGTACACCAAGTTTAAGGACATGCAAACCATCTCACAGTCATCATTTTGTGACTCATGCACTGTGTTCTTTTGTGGTTTGGGATTTTTCTCCCCAGTGGTTTTAGTAAAACTCATCACTGATTTTTGTCTGATCTGATTTTTAAATTACTGCGACATGTAATCACTGCTCTTTCATTCTTTAAAGCTCATGTCCAAATATTTAAATACTACTAAGATTACAACATAAAGTACGTGTTCTAGGTATATATAATCCATTGGCAAGACAATGTTTAAAAAGCTTAACACAGGTGACCTTTTCAAATCTTCCAAGTACTCTTACATCTAAGCCATGTGGCTTAGAAAGCTGTGAAGTTACGGTAAAGTTTCATTATGTATAATTCTCTAATATAATAAGCATGAGTTTTAGTAGATCTTAAATTCATTCAGTCTAGAAAGCCTGCAGTCGAGTAAGCCTGACGCTGTATGGTGGCGTATCCCTCACAGGCTCTGGGACTGAGGGGATTAATGAGAACATCAAAACTGTTTTGAGCTTAGAAAACTTATGTACACTAGTTTACCCAAACCCAATACTTTTTACAGTTAGTAGACTTTTTCTTACATACATGAGAACTGAAGCATGCAGGAAGCTTGTTTCCCACCTGGGCAGGCATCTGCTATAGTCATACCAAGGGTGAAGTCTTGAGAGACACGTAAAATTAAACTGATACCAGAGAGCAGGTTTTTTTGTGGTAGGGTGGTGAGTTTTTTTTTCTGTAAAGTGCTGATTCAACAAAACCAGGTTAACTGCTTAACTCAGACTACCAGGATCTCATTCATGTCGTGGGAGTTGGGGTGTGCTTATGGTTGGGGACTGCTATAGTCATACCAAGGGTGAAGTCTTGAGAGACACGTAAAATTAAACTGATACCAGAGAGCAGGTTTTTTTGTGGTAGGGTGGTGAGTTTTTTTTTCTGTAAAGTGCTGATTCAACAAAACCAGGTTAACTGCTTAACTCAGACTACCAGGATCTCATTCATGTCGTGGGAGTTGGGGTGTGCTTATGGTTGGGGACATCATAGGGACCTGGCCAGATACGATGTGCTCTTCAAGTGTATTCCGGGAAGGTGCAAGGGGATTCTCAGATGCTTGGAAAATTTCTCTGCCAATTTGGGTACTGCTCTTAACATTAACATGCTAAAATGTATTTTATTTTGGCAATTTCAGTCCTGTGATTTAATTAAGGTGGTAATTATTATTATTATGGTAAACATTATTTGCAAAACTCCAGCTGTCTGCCAAGTGTTGTACTAGACACTGGCACACAGTCTCTGTCCAAAAATATGAATGCCCAAACTGCAGTGACATTAAATACTGTAAAAACACAAATTTCCAAACCCATGATTTTTAGCACCTAAGGCTAACGCTCGTGTGAACTTTTGCTATCCCATGTTTTAAGTCCAATCTGCAAACTCACATTTTTGACAGTGTCAGGAACTTAGTGCCTTTCAACATTCTTGGATTCGGGGAGATTTATTCTAGATCTTACCATCTTGGATGCCATTTTCCAGAATACAGAGCTAGGGTTACTCTCACATTCACTTCGTTTTGGACAAGATTCGTAGTTGATTCCTGAGAAGAAATACATTTATAGAATGGCTAAGGTTAGAGTAAACATTATTGCAATGTTAATATGGCTTTGAGAGCTGATTTATGATGGCAGAAAGATTTTCCCCCTACCAAAGCAAGAAGGCTACATGAGAGGAAAGTGAATTTGCATGTGTTTGAAGGTCTTTGTGTTTGCTCACACATGTTTCAGGGAGGCAGCTGCAGGCCCTGGATGCAAATAACTCTCAGAAAACTGAGAAGGGAAAACATGTAGTCCTGCATGTGAGAAACATAGAATCATAGAATCACAGAATGGTTTGGGTTGGAAGGGACCTTAAAGATCATCTAGTCCCAACCCCCCTGCCATGGGCAGGGACACCTTCCACTAGACCAGGTTGCTCAAAGCCTCATCCAGCCTGGCCTTGAACACTTCCAGGGATGGGGCATCCACAGCTTCTCTGGGCAACCTGTTCCAGTGCCTCACCACCCTCTCTGTGAAGAATTTCTTCCTGACATCTAATCTAAACCTCCCTGATTTCAGTTTATACCCATTACCCATTATACCCATTACCCAAACAGATTGGCTCTTGACAATGCTGTCCAATTGCATCAAAAAAATTGAACTTTGCCCAACATTTTCAGTTATTCCAGCCGATTTTACAGGTTGCTAGCTTTAAGCACCAACCCAGGAGTCCTGCAGGCAGCAGTAACCCCAGGGTACCTGCCCTGATCTTGATAAAGAGGGCAAGATATGACCATTAGTGCAAGAAACAATCTGGTGTTTTAATAGTAGGAAAAAAGTTGTGGTTTTTAAATTAACCTGAGAAATAAGTATTATTTTCATTCTTCCATAAAATGGGACAGAAATACGGTTAAGGTTTTAAACCAAACTGAAGAAAAGAATATGTGAAAAGGACTGTGTTTAGGTCTAGATATGCAAGAGAAAAGAATAAACTGAAATTCCATTGTTCTGATTTGTTTTGTAAAAAACAGGACTTTATTACCTGGGGCAGAGGGGTCTCCACACCATGAAACCCTATCAGCCATATAACCCAACAAGGTGTCCTCCAAGGTAAGGAAATTTTGATTGGATCTTGTGTAACGATGAGCGAGGTCATTTGTCTTGCTCCAAAACAGTGACTGTGAAATAAGGTACAATACCTAATCAGTGATATTTATACTAGAGCTGGTCAGGAAATCTTCCTGGAGAAAAGCAAAACAATTTTCATGATAATGAAGGAGTTTTAATTTTTATTGAAATGCTGCAAGTTCACATTAGTGGGTCAGTTCTTATTTCTACAGCTCATGCTCCCACTTCCAAAATATTTTGGGTGGCTATTTTTTGTGGAAATGAAAATGTTCAGCCTGTAAAGCGTTTTGAAAGAAAGGTTTTGACTAGTTCTCATAGGGTATACACCTAAGTTGTTGTGTGCTTTTGAATTACACATGGAAGAGCAGCTTTTTGGAAGCAGCGTCCCTCTAACAGCATGCTAGCATGCTCCTTACAGAGACCCGTGTGCACAGGGCACAGGGACATCTCCGTCACTTCACCAGGGCAACCCTAGTACTGACATTTAAGGCAAGCCTTACACCGGGATGATTTCCAGAATAAACAGGGTTACTGGGGTCTAAAGGTGGTAACAGTATTGCAATAGGCACAAGAGCAAAATATCATCCTCGTCAACATGCAGACACAGTCGTTACAGACATGATCCATCATTCAGGGCACTGCACAGACACGTCGTCCCACAACAACCCTCCTTACGCAGCCCACCGTGCACTGTACCTTGTTACAGGGTATAGGATGACTTGCCAACTCCATCAACGGCTGGTAATCTTCTGGTGTAATATTACAGGGATTCTTGTAAATGAATGCGTGTTTTAATGATTCCCATATTTTTAGGCAATCCTTATCTCTGCCAAAAGATTAAAACACGGTCAATTAGTATTTATGGGTGTTTATAACTTTGAAAAGATCTCCTTCTGTTATGGTCAAACACTATGGATCAGGTTTTAAAAGAGTTCTGACTATGTTCAGGCACCAAAATACATTATCCATTAAAAAACTAGAGTATCTTCGGCAAATTGAGCATGAATGAAGGAATGAGTAGTTCTAAAACATATATCGCTGTCTCCTGGATTTTAAATTACTGATTATTGTAATATCTGGATGCCCTCTATGTTTTTGTCCCTTAAAAAGAGCAGTGCTGATATCACATAACCAGAAGACCGAATTTCTTGATAATACATACCAAATTATGAGAAGCAAATGTGGCAGAATATAGGTTGTGCATTTTAAGAATATGGTTGAAGGATATTGGCTTCTCAGGTACAGTGAGCCAAAAATATGCCCGTGTGTCTCCCTGCAGAGCATTCGACCCCACAGAAATAATATCTATAATTTTATCTAAAGCAAAAGCAGAAGTCTGGCAGGTTTTGACCCAATATTATTTTCATTTATGCATTAATTCTCAGCTATTGACTTTGCTAGAGCCACAGCTGCTTTGCACATAAATAACCAAGAGTCAAATAGGGTGCTTGGTCTCCAGTGGTTTTTTTTGTCTCTTGATCCTCCAGATTCTGGCCCTTTTGTTCTCACTGGTGTGAGTCAGAGGAACCCCACTAAATAGACAGGGGGGAACTGGTGCATGCCATGACAGAGCCTTATCACCACAGCCTACACTTGTTTCTTAAGATGCTGCTTTGTCAGCCTAGGAAATAAAGCACAACTCTGCTGACAGAAGCAGGGCTCCTTTCCTACTGCCGAGAGGAATTCTGTTGGCATGCTGCTGGCAAGCAATTGTATCTCTGTGCTGAAGTAGTGCCATGCTCCCTTCCCAAAGCTGCAGCATATAACAAGGTGTGGGACGGCTCAGGACACTTGCTTTCTTACAGTAATGCATGAGAACTCTGCATTAAGACAATTCATAACTATTGTCTGTCTAGTATGAGTTTTCATGGCTGTCTCCCATGAGTGCTCTTCCCTTCCTCTTCACGCTCCCATAGTTTCAGGCCCACATGGAAAGCCTGCCCCTCTCATTGCAGCAGTGACAGTAATGCAGTGATTTCCCACCCTTCTCTTCCTTATTTTTATGTAAATTTAAGATGCTGACTGAATTATCCTGCTGTCTGCGTGTCTGAATGGAGCTGCTCTGACTGTCTTTGACTCATCCACTCTTTCTCCACCGTTTGCAATCATCTCCCACTGTGCTCCCACTGAAAGCTGTTTGAAGAATGGACTTTGTCTTGTGTGAAGAAACTAATGGCTTCAGAGCACTATAAAAATAGCACTGATCATTTAGTACATGACAGACACACCCCTGCAGCCTTTGTTATCAGTTGGTACTTGGGTAACATGTAGGATGTGGAATTCGATTAATCTTTAAAATAGTCCTAAAAGGATTAAGTAAAACGGTAGTAAATCATTGAAGGTTTCCAAACACTTTCAAGTTAATCTTCTCCAGAGTTGTGTAATCTCATTCCTACAACTGAACTTGATCAAGATTTCTACTGAGTTCCCATTCAAGCATCAGAGGGGCAAACTGGAAGAGTTGAGCTGTTTGTGTTACACAGGCCACATCTAAACTCTGGAACCCAGAACCTGGCCTGCTCATTATCTCCTGACGGTTTCCTCACTGTCTGGACATGAATTTCCTTCCATTCCTAAGCTTTATGGAAAATAAACATCACAGAAAGAGAAGGCCAGACTCTTGTCTATCCGTGTCCAGAAGAAAGCACCTGGCAGCACTAGCTACCAGAGGGACTGCCTCTTATGAGTCTTACAGGGGCTTGGCCCGTATCATACCAGGAAGGACCAGGCAATCCATGGCAAGATGTCCCTGACCTTCCTTCCTATCTGCCTTTATTTATGTAGTAACAAATCTAACTTAGCATTATATACGGCATTTTGGGAGGTCATACCACCGGTGGGTTTCCATGCCCCAGCTTCTTCTGGTCCTCCTCTGTGAAGGGTCTATGGTGGATATGTCCTAATCTCTCATTCATGGGGCAGCCGTGGGTTTTACACTGCAGAGCTCTATCTGGAGGCAGTGATCCCACAGCCTGATCTTGCTGATTTAAATCTAGCTTGGGTATTGTCACTTGTGCTGGTTTTGGCTGGGATAGAGTTAATTTTCTTCCCAGCAGCTGGAATGGGGCTGTGTTTTGGGTTTGTGCTGGAAACAGTGTTGATAACACAGGAGTGTTTTCGTTACTGCGGAGCAGTGCTGACACAGAGTCAAGGCCTTTTCTGCCTCTCACACCACCCCACCAGTGAGTGGGCTGGGGGTGCACAGGGAGCTGGGAGGGGACACAGCCAGGACAGCTGACCCCAACTGACCAAAGGGATATTCCAGACCATATGATGTCATGCTGAGCACATAAAGCTGAGGGAAGGATGAGGAAGGGAGGGACATTTGGCATGATGGCGTTTGCCTTCCCAAGTAACCATTACACGTGATGGAGGCCTGCTTTCCTGGGAATGGCTGAACACCAGCCTGCCCATGGGAAGTGGTGAACGAATTCCTTGTTTGGCTTTGCTTGTGTGCACAGCTTTTGCTTTACCTATGAAACTGTCTTTATCTCACTCAAGAATTATCGACTCACGAGTTTTCTCATATTTACTCTTCTGACTCCCTCCCCCATCCTGCCATGGGGGAGTAAGTGAGTGGCTGTGTGGGGCTTAACTGTCAGCTGGGGTTAAACCATGACACCACAGTACAGTGCTATCTGAAATGCAGACAGAGCCTGTGGGCAGGGACAAGGCAGGTCAGCCTGGAGAGTCTCCAGCCATATGGCCAGCCAGGGGAGTTCTGGCCACCTATCATTTCTTTCCATGTCAGTCTGTTACAGGGCAGCTGCAACTGTGTTACGGACCACACCTCTTGTTTATATGAACCAAATTTACCTTCAGGTAAATAAAGACTAATAATAATGAGCATATTTACTGGGGCATTGCCTTTTATCCAGGAGTCTAAATGTACTTTCAGTTACGGTCACTGTAGAAATAAGAAGCCAAACTGCAGATGCTCTAAGGAGCACAGTCATCACTTTGCTGCTGCACTGTCATGTCAAGGGGTATTCACATATTTTACTTAGCAGGATTTAACTTGGGTATATTAAACTTTCTCCTGGAGGAGCTTGTTTCTGGCTGCAAACTGTGTAAGTAACCCACAGAGATCATCCTTCCAACTTTGGTACTTCATTTAGGGGACGGGAAGTTGTAAATACCTCTCCCTGTGACACAGGATTACAACGTGACAACACTGAATCAAGCGAAAGAAAGGGCTCCTGCTGATTAAGGGGTGATATTCCAGAATAGGCAGCTGTCCCTTTTGCTCTGCACAGTCAACAGTACCATAAAGAGAATTTGTAGAGCTTGGCTGTAAGCACCAGTACATCTCAAAGACGTTTATACGGCTCACAGTTTCTAATCTGTCAAATGATTTGTCCTCCTGGTAGGACTCTCTTTCTTTTTTTTCTTAAGCTATTCCTGAAATCTGTTATATGTAACCACGTTAACAGCCATAGGTGACAGCTGGTTACCTGGTCATTTATCCTTTGATACTGCCAAGCTTTTAATCTTGGTCTCTGAAGACAAAATATTTTTCAAGGAATCATAAGAAAATCTGGGGTTTTTTTATTCCCAAAACAGAGAGATGAGTTATATACACATTACAAAGCATTTCTGCTGCTGAACTCAGGTCATGGCCATGAGAAGCATGAAGCAACAACCATCCAGGTGATTCACGATCCTGCCGAGACAGCTTGCTGAGTCACGCATTCATCAGTTTCCTAGCATTTCAAGACACCAAGCTCAGCACTTGATGATGAGCATGGATGTCACTTCTATCTGAGACAACAGCCTTTATCTGCAGTCCTGGCAGAGGTGAGCAAAACTATACGTTTAAGGTCACAGAAGTGGTAAGGCTTAACCTTCTGTCCAGATTTCTCTGGGATAGAGTTCATTTTCTTCCTAGTACTGTATAGTGCTGTGTTTTGGATTTAGCATGATAATACTATGATGACACCCTGATGTTTTAGTTGTTGCTAAGCTGTGCTTATACTAAGTCAAAGACTTTTCAGCTTAGAATCATAGAATCATAGAATGGTTAGGGTGGGAAGGGCCCTTAAAGATCATCTAGTTCCACCCCCCCTGCCATGGGCAGGGACACCTTCCACTAGACCAGGTTGCTCAAAGCCTCATCCAGCCTGGCCTTGAACACTTCCAGGGATGGGGCATCCACAACATCTCTGGGCAACCTGTTCCAGTGCCTCACCACCCTCTCTGTGAAGAATTTCTTCCTGACATCTAATCTAAACCTCCCTGTTTTCAATTTGTACCCATTACCCCTTGTCCTATCACTACAGGCTCTTGTAAAAAGTCCTCTCCCAGTACCCATGTAGGCCCCCTTCGGATACTGGAGTATCAGAATATTCAGATAGCTTCCCAAACTCTGTCAGTGTGGAGGTGCACTAGAAGCTGGGAGGGAGCACAGCCAGGACAGCTGACCCAAACTGACCAAAGGGACACTAAATACCACATGGTGTCATGCTCAGTATATGAACTATGGGGAAAGCTGGCCAGGGGCTGCTGCTGGGGGACTGGCTGGTCTCTGGTCGGTGGGTGATGAACAATTGCATTGTGCATCACTTTTTTCCAGCACAGCAAGAAAATATGTGTCTGGTGTGCAGCATTTAACTCACGCTGAGCAGAGGTGAGGGCAGAGACCCGTTATAGCTCCAGGCCTCCTAAAGACAGCATGAGAAGTTTGCTGGAACTTGGTAGGCTAAAAATTCCAACAACCCTTTCAGGTTCAAACAAGCATATCTGCCTTGCCAAAAAACGCCTTAGAAACAAACTGTACTCTTAGGGCTGCTCCCAGCTTCTCATTGTGAGTTCTCAGTCACAGAATGG